ATTAAAAATACTAAAGGTTAGAAAAAAAAATAATTGGACATAACCTTTCCAATTCTAAACTTCAGATAAGACATGTACATAAGACCTTGGCAGCTTTTACAGAAACCCAGAATTGAAAGTTGGAGTACTTCTGAAATCTAGAAATGGTATTCTACCAGCTACATCAGAAAATCATTATCCCAGAAATCAATATGAATAATTATCCTTCCTAATGGTGCAAAGATCAATAAAATGAGCCATATCATCAGCAGCCATTCTCAAATCTTAAAATCTTTAAAATTCTTCAAATTCATGGTGATTTAGAACTTCAAAATTTCAAGATTTCAAAATTACAAAAATAAATACCACTCTGACACTCAAGGGACATCTTCACTTTAAGGCCTTTGTCACAAATCTGAATCTTTATTGTTCTGAAATGTTAAAAACATAACTTGAAACAAAAATGTCAATATTCAGTCTCAGAAGAGGTGTGGTTCAATGCCCATCACATGTAACAAGAAAACTTCCTTTAAAAAAAAGGAAAAAAAAGTACTATAAGTCTTTCATATGAATGAAAATGCACCCTTTGGATTTTTTTCCCTTTAACTCATTAGCTTGTATACACATGGGAATCAAAAAGTTTGCATTTTCTTCACAACAGTTCTTGCTATGATGTTTGACGTATTTTTTGCCACTCAACAAATTCATCAAGAAGAACGGGCCCTAGAAATAAAGAAACAAGTTCTGTTAGAATTCAATAAACTCATCTCTCCAACTATATAACAAGCTCTCCACAGGCTTTGTGTTGACAGGAGCCCGACCTATCCTTTCTTCAGGTGTTTTGCTTCCAGCCACTCTCTTCTACTTATCAGTGCTTCCTTAAGTCTTTTCTTGTTCTGCCCTTAAAAACACAGGGAACTTTGCATAATTGTAGCAATTTTCTTCTCAAGGTATTTCATAAACCCTCCAACAACTGGGTCAATATTAACCTCTCTCATAGCATTCTGGCATTTCATTATAAAACAACCTAAAAAGTGTATAAGGTATTATTTCTGTTACTGCATTCTGGTAATATGGGAGATTGGCCATAAGGACACTTATCTTACTCCAAAACAGGAAGCAAATGCTTAATAAATATCTATTACTCTAAAAACGATATTTTTATAATGATCCAAATATTCACCTACAAAAGCCAGAAAGGCAATTTTAAGTGAATTCAGCAATTTGTTTCTTTAATGTAGAAAAAATCAGTACTACAAAGAAATGTTCTTTTCCTATTTTTTTTCAAAACATATAACCTTAGGGTGGTCTCTTTTTTTTCCCCTTGCTTTTGCTTTTAATAGATTTATTTCTCCATTGTAAGAAAAACAACAACAACAAAAAACCTGTAAGAGCAAACACAACAAATGGCAACTGAAAATTCCAACCTCTGAATCCTATGAAGGAATACAGATGCAGTTCTGTCAGATTTTCTGAATTTCCAAACAAATCTAGAAGTTTTACTTTTATACAAAATCTGTTTTAAATGTTAGCTTAACATACATGAATACAGATATCTGCAAAACTATATATAGCCCTTGGACTGCCAGTTTACTACTACAAGATAATTATTTCTTTAAAATAATGTTAAATTTTATGACATCTCATAGAAGAACATAATATATGCAGGAAGAATCAGAATTATAATTCTAACCCTTTCCTCAGTATTTTATCTGTTCAGTGTGACAGAAATAAGTGCATAATTTTAGTATACATTTATAAGAAAAGTACTTCGTGTAATCCTTTTGAATGTTAAAACACTGAATGCAACCATGATAGTGGAAGGTGAAAACTTACAGTTCTAGAGAATTTAGCTTATCTAATTATTCATTATTTTAAAATTGTTTTATGGCATTCTGGCCACTTCACTGAGGGGTGCTGCTATTTTTAACTTGAAGGATTAAAAAAAGTGTACTATTTCACTATCAGTATACTCAGAATCGATGTATAATTTTCGGAGGGAAGTTACTGATGTTATTTGCCAAATTGTCAAATGGCAATGTAAATGAATACCATGTTAACATTAAAGCTTTTTCTATTGTAACTGATTTGTTTTGCTTTCCTACTTTTAAAATCATGACATTTTTCTTACACAAGAAAAGCAAGAATAAAAGCAGAATTTTAGTATCTAGATACAGAAATTATCATTTAAATATAGCTATGATGACCGGTTACTTAGGAATGGAAAACATTTCGTAGCTAGCACAGATTTTATTATATTGTTGAACCTAACCTTTCTGTCTACTTCCCTCACTCCCTGTTAAATATTAAGTTACTGCTATAAAGTTTAAAACCTCTTTATTGGGCTGGAGATGTAGGTCAGTGGCAGAGAACTTGGCTCGCATGTGCAAAGCCCTGGGTTTAATCCCTAGTATTGCAGGAAACACACACACGCATACACACACACCCCTTTATGCTAACAGTACACAAATGCATACTCATTTAATATTTTTAAAAATTTCATTTTCACGGGGATACATTATATTATACTTACATGCACCATCTTCATCGTAGTTACTAAGATCTGCATGGACTGTTCTGCTGAATTCTAATACATTGTACCACTGATCCTTGTTCATAACACGGTACTTTGATTGCTGTGGAAAACAACACAAACATTTGTACCACAGAATAAAATTATTAGCGAATCTGTGACTTGGTTTTTCCTAAAACATTTATTCTTCTATTTTTTTGTGGTTTTTTAGAGAATCTTTAAGAGCATATACATGTTAACATCACGTATTTTTCCATTTTTCTTTCATTTCTGAGAATAATAAACATAAAGGTACTAATTTTAAGACTAACACTCACTAAATTTTTACATATGTATATACTTGTGTAACTACCAATAAAATCAAGTTACAAATTATGTCCCTACAGCAAGTTCCTGTGTTGCTTCCCAGTAAATCATTTCTTTCCATTAGCTGTTTTGAAGATTGTATATATGGAAGTAGTAAAAAGAATATAGGATTGAGTTCAAATCTCATTTCTGCCATTAGATGAGTGACCTTGAGAAACATAAGAATAGAACCCATTTCTTCGACTGCTAAATCTGAATAAAATTTAAAATGGTATCATAATGATTTAAAAAAATAGTATCAAATAGCCTGCACATGTACAAGTGTTTAAAATAGTTGTTCTTCTCAACACCCCAGAGGTAAATATTTCTACATTCTTTATTTGGTTTAAGTTTGTTTTTTTTTTGGTAGCAGACCTTGTGCTTGCGAGGGAGGCAGCGGAACCACTGAGCTAAATCCACAGCCCTATTTGGCTTAAGTTTTAGTTGTGCACAAAACTCACTTCCTAACTCTTTTATTGTAAGTTTTAAATAAAACTACTCTGAAGAACTTGCTATGATAAGCAGTAAGCTTACTGAGAAATTACACTCAAAGGAAAAAGCATGTCTATTCAAAAAATATTGAGAATACGCCACCTGCTACACAAGTGCAAGGACCTGAGTTCGATCCCCAGTACCAAAAAAAAAAAAAACAAAAAAACTGAGAACTAGACTAGAAAAACTAAAATTAAAAAGGCCCCAAAATATATACTGTACAAGACGAAGAATTCAATAAAAAAGGACACAACTTAAGAACCACTGCCTCTAGTAAATGCTATGATAAATCATCTAGAAAAATTTCATCAACTCAGCATACTTTTAGTAATCAGTACAATTAACCATACTGTAGCCATTCTCTTACTTGTAGACATAAAGTATTAAAGTTTATTGTATTTCTTTATATTGAGTCTAAGTAGAAAACAGAAAAGTTTTATTATAATACTCAAGTATATTTCAGCCTAAGATCCAGAAGAAAGCAGATTTAGAACCTTGAGATTTGTGTGCTATCATCAATTCTTTCTTATCAAAAACGTGAAAAACTAATTTTGTATGAAAAAATATCTTTAGTAAAACATATCTGAGAGAGATCCTTTCTGGCAGGGGAGAAGAGATGTGGAATAAAAATATCTCCTTTTCAATGTAGTACTAGGGACTGAAAATATACATTCTACCCTTAAGCTACACCTCCAAACTTCAAGGCATCTAATATATGGAATACATTAAATAGCAAGTATTCAGGTCTACAGGTGACAAAAGGTAGGTACATGTTTTAACAGAACTTCTTCACTACTCTAACAGATTACTTAAAAGCACAATATTAAAAACCTACTTGTTTCTCAATTAAAAGTGTATTTTCAACCAGATTGAGTTTTCAAACACTATTAAAACAAACAAAATAAAAAAAAAAAACCATACCTCCAGGTACTGGTAAAATACTGAAAACAGTGGCCATGTCCTCCCAAGCAGAAGAGCTAACATAGATTTAGCAGTATCAATATCAAGGCTTCTCTGATCTTTATCCTAAAATATGAATGAAAAAATTTTCCTGAGTATGGTCAAGATATAAAACTATTACAATGACTAAACATAGAAACTACACCTACCCTTGCGAAATCAAAGGCATATCTGTATATATTCTTAAATGACGAAATATCATTCAGCTGTGAGCGCAAAAAGTCAAATTTGTTCTGTAACTTTTCTGTGCAGTCACACCTTAAAAAAAAATTGTAGAATCAAGAAAATTAAATTATTTTAGGAGGTTAAAAGTTATGCATTAAGAAAAAAATTAGAGTAATTATGAAGATAATTTAGCTCTAAAATTCTCTTACAAATTTAGAATAACAAACTTATTGCCTTATATTTACCAATGAAATAAGAAAAGGAATAAGGATGATAATAATAACAATAATAATAATAATAATAAAAGATAATCTGGCAATCAATGAAAGTTTTCTCAAGATGGTTGTTTGAAAAAACCTAATTAAAAATTCTAATAAAATCAGAAATATCTCTTAAAAAGAGATTATAAAGTGAAAAAAAAAAGCACATAAATCTCTCTGCCACATATTTCTTTGGAAAGTTCTTAGGTAACAGCTTGGTGATGAAGATTAGACATGAATAGTTTTAAAAGTTTAGTATGCATACAAAGGAAATTAATACATTAAAGTGGCCCAGTCATAAATCCAAGTTCCCATATTTTAGTGAACAAAAAATTAATATATCAATGAGTAGAAGCACCTAATTCAAATAAGATATATATGCAAAAGCACACAAACAAATCATACATGTTATTTCTAAAGACAGTACAGTGCATTAAATATAAAGAACTAAATAAATAGAATGCTCAAAAATCTTGCCAAACTTTCTGACTCTCTCTGTGTTGTTAAGTTCTACTATGTAGAACAGGAAACAAGGGATAGAAAGCCTTCACAATTTTGGTACAAATTTTCAGTCTCATCTTGACACTTCTGAATATCCTTACTATAGTTGTATTTCAATTACCACTCCAAATGGCACCACTACATGAAGTGTGTTCCTTCCAACATTCTGAAAAAATACTACTCGAGGATCTAACTCACATTTTACCTCCTCTAAGAGACCACCCAACTTCCCTAATCTGTTGTGCCATTCTACTCAATGCTGAATTTTAGTACTTATAATATAATACAGATCCCTGGCATTCTCAAATTTAGCTAAGACTTTCACTATCCTAAACCAGTATTCAGGGCCTACCTGTGTAGTAAGTTATAATTTTAGTAAAGTATACACATTTTGGATACAATTCTAAAGTTAATTAAATCTTGCACATTAAGAATATACCAATCCTCTGCCTAGTGGTATAGAGCGGCATGGTGAACAGTAGGAGTTTTCACCATTACCCAGTGGTAACAAGGTCACCACCCCACCCCAGTGGTGGCAATGAAGACTACATGGGAAATAGGAAGGTACTCCTACCCCTTTCAGACAACAAAGTTATCAGGGGAGACCTTCAGGGGACCCTCAATTCTTCTCTTTATTACAGCAAGTAATGAGAAGTATCCCTCCTTGAATGTCAATGGGCACAAAATAAGAAATTCAATTTCTACCTGCATCTGACAGTAATGAGGCCACAGTCCCTACTTCTTTTGCCAGAGTGGTATTACAAGAAGCCAGGCAAAACAGAAGGTTTAAATAAGATTCAGTTTCATAGCATAATATCCAAAATGTCCAGTTTTCAATAAAAGGAAAATGATATATCATAGAAATATCAATAAAAGGAAAATGGAAGTAGCTATATTAATGTCAGCTAATGTAGACCCAGAGCAAAGAAAATGACCAGAGAAGAGGAGATAATTTTATAATGATAAAAGGGTGAATCTACCAGGAAGATGTAGCAATACTAAATAATCATAAGCAATTAATATGTGCCAAAGGGATGCAAAAAATGTGAAACAAAAGCTCACAGAACAGAAAACAAAAATTCACAATTTTAGTTGGAGATTTTAATACCTCTCAGATATTGATAAAAAATTAATTATCAGCAAAAATAGAATTAAGCAACAGCATCAACCAAAAGATTCTAATTGACATCAATAGAATACTCAGTAACAATAAAATACATATTCAAGGGCCCACAAAATATAAACTAAGAATATCCTAAGCCATAAAACAAACTTCAAAGAATAAAAATAACTGCAGTGATAGAGTTGTGTTGTCTGGCCACAACAGAATCAACCTAGAAATTAGTAATAGATAACAGCAAAATCTCTAAAACTCTTAGAAAATAAACAGCAAACTCCTAATCCCTGGGTACATTAAGTATAAGAGGAAACCAAAAAATGTATTAAACTGAAAATCAAAATACCATTATTTCCGGGGATTTAGCTCAGTGGTTCTGCCACCTGCCTCACAAGCACAAGGGCCCAAGTTCAATCCCCAGTACCAAAAAAAAAAACCCACCATTATTATCAAAAATTTTAAGATGGAAATACAGCAGTACCAAGAGGTAAACGTATAACAAACGCAAACATTAGAAAGGAGAAAAAGTTTCAAATCAATTATCTAAATGTGTAGTCTGCAAAAAGAGAAGAAAATAAATACAAAGCAAGTAGGAAGTAAACAAGAGCAGAAAAATCAAAGAAATAGAAAACAAAAAAATGAAACAAAGAGCTGATTCTTTGAAAGGATCAATAAAATTGGTAAGGCTCTAGCAAGATGGATGGGGAAGACAAAAATTACCAATACCAGAAATGAAATAGTAGATATCATTACAGACTCAAATGCATCAAAAAGACTGTAAGGTAACAAACTATAACTCTACACATAAAAATGTGATGACTCGGATAAAACAGACCAGTTCTTTGAAAAGCACAAATACTGTAACACACACAATATACAGTAAATTGATTAGGCTTATAACTACTAAAGAGATTGAATTCAAAATTTTAACATTTCTAAAAAAGAAATCTTCAGGGTCAGACAGTTTCAGTAAAGAATTTTGCCACACATTTAAAAACCTATTCTAGCCCCACATAGTGGGTCACACCCGCAATTCTAGCCCTCAGGGAGGTGGAGGCACAAGAATCAAAGTTCCATCCCAGCCTGGGCAATATAGTGACTTATTCCCTGTCATAAAATAAAATAAAAGTAAACAATGCTTAAAAAACA